GCAAGCAAAAAGTTATATTAATGTAAACTTCTTAAAAATACTTTTCAAATGTATGTATAAACAAATTCATTCAGCTGGCTTCTAAAGTGAAAACATAAAAAATGGTCAAATGATAATTGTCATATTACTATTTATTAATGTATTTAATTTATTTGCCTTCAATGGTTTTACTTTGAAAAAAATCAGGTCATTTTACACCTTCATCACTTTATTCATTGACTATTGCAGCATCTGTTTTACTTTGCTTCACCAAGAATCCAATAAATTGCCTTCACATCACACATGTTTCAACTTTCTTGCAAGTGCTCCCAGTGTGTTTTAGATTTGATTTTAAAGTTTTATTATTGACGTTGAGGCTTCTTGTGGCCTCTAACCTTTGTATTTACCATGTGATCGTGTGTAGGGCATGAGCCTATCCACAAACTGAGATCCTTGGACAGGGAAAGTTGTTTTAAGGTTGACAGAATTAGTGACCTCTTTCATAGCTCTTTTTTGAAACGTTTTCATCAAAAATACTTTTTCTGGTTTTATTGACTCTTGGTTGACTAAAATTTTGTTGGTTTGTTTGAAGATGGTCTTACTATATATTGGACTTTTGGAAAATATTATATTTATGAATGCCCAATTTAGTTTAAATATTGATCAGTGATGCGTTAGTTTACATCCCAAATCTAAAAAAGAAGGTATTAGACTGCCTGACTAAACAAACAGAAAAATCAGAGGGAAAGTTTTATGCTCATTTATTCAATTGTGTGACAAACAACATGGCCATATGGTTATCTGTCACATGGCTCATTACTTCCTCACTGCTGTGTTGTAGCTCAACCTTCAGCCCACCACGAGTCTCTGTTTCCTTTAGCAAATGGCAATGTCCAATTAGTTTAAGAGTAACATTTACTCCTTTCTCTTACTGAACCTAAAAACTGTTCTACTATCCAATAACCTTTAGAGTACACAGGCTGTGACTTTGGCTTCACCTCAATAAAGCGCTCCATGATTGAATCAAGTGGCTGAGGTCAATAGGACATGTGTTCATTTCCCAGGGTCCTCCAGGGTCCCTGCAGGCAGAAAAAATATGCTGAGTGTCTTCTGTGACATTTATTGGAAAGGAACTGAATTATATCTCTTTTTTTCCCTGTTTTCTCATTTCATCTCTTTCACTTTTACGAAGGGCTTCCACACTAGGTGTGTGCGCTCATACTGTATGTGTGAGTGGACACGCAGGATGTTGTATGCTTTACCCACCCCATGGTCACGCTTCAGGCACCGCCACATACTACATCTGTCACTGACTCTACAGCGTCACCTCAATTTTCTGCCAACAAGTTTTCCTTTGCCGCCGTGACAGACAGATCCCGCTTCCTCGCCGTCTCCTGTCCCCGTCACTCCATTTCCTGCTCACATCTCTTTACATCTGTCAGATTTTTCCTTTCGTCAGCCACCCCTTCACGTTTTATCATCTCACACTTATTTCAGTTAAACATCATAGCAGGGGTCAAAAAAGTCCTGAAAGTCATTTAGTAAACAAAAGTACAATTGATTTGTGTCTTTTTTGGTGCTAAATGTTTCACTTTAGTTTTCACAATTATGCCATCCATAAGGGATTACATTGCTAATTCTCTGAGGGATTACTGTCAGTGTTCTGCTGCGTTGCTTCTTCCTGTCTCAGTGAACTCATCATGGTATTAAAAGTGACAAGTAATTTATAAGTAGCAATCAAGTAAATTTATTGTGACCTGTCAACGTTTATTCTTGGAAATAGGTACTAACACTAAAAACATATTTAAAATCAAACATCAATATGTGTACTATGCTCTGCGATGTGTAAACAGCTCATTTATTCTAATCAACGACAATATCAGTGCAAAATAGAAAATGAATGACACACACGACGTGTGATGTAGTTTAAAAAGTAATTATTTTGCTTGCAATAGTCTTACACCGTTCCACATAAATCAAATATAATGTTGGCAAGATAATTCATTTAGTTATTAAAATACATTAACATTACATTAATTTGTTTATTATTATCTATTCATGTTTAAATAGAAGCCTATGTTAAATAAAGCCAAACACAACAACTACAGCTTAAGTTAGTATTTGAATAAATGTGAACAAGTTCTTGTCAGTAGCGTATAAACTGGATATGAACTTTGCACAGGAAGTAAGTATTTTTTTGTGTTTTTTAAAGATTATTTCTTTGTTGTAACAATGCTTCTTGGCAATACATCTTGTACCATTGGAAAGCCTCTCTTTGAAATGGAGCCACATTTCTGAGGAACATGCATTTGTGGGATTGCACACCAACAATTTGCCAAATCTTCTCTACCAAGCAGTTTATTTTGTTGTTGCTATTGACACGTGTTTTGAGATCCTGGTACCCACATGTGCTGGTGATTGGCACCTGATTGCCAGCACCTGTGAGCGTGGGCCCTGCTACAGTGGTCGGTAGGCATTCAAGAAATGATATTCCATGCTCAACTTGTCTGGATATGGCCCGTGTGATAGGTTTATCAAAGACTACATTCAGAATTTGGGAATGGAGAGGCCTGCCAGCAACCCCARTGAACAATTGTAACCAGCTTGTGCTTGCTGTTCATGCCAGAGTGACTAACACAACCGCGGTGGCTGACTTGCAACAAATGCAAGTTAAAGAATGGGATGTCATCTCACAGCAGTGTGTGACCAGGCTGGTGACCAGCATGAGGACAAGGTGCCAGGCTGTTGTGGCTGTGTATGGTTCTTCCACAAACTACTAAGGCTCCTGTTTGTTAAACAAATAAATTGTCTGTCTTGTTCTTCAAACTTTAATCACCCAGTCCACCAAACACCAAATGAGTCATTGGAAATATAAATAAGTTGTTTGGCAATGGCAGAAAAGATTGGCAATATTTTTTCATGTGTGCAACCCACTACTGCTCCACCGTCAAAGAAAAATGCTAAAAATGTCCATACCAGACTAGAACAAAAAATATTGGCTTGGCTATAGATTCTACCACAGACAGCAAAAAAAGGAAAATGGAAGAAAAGGAAAAACATCTCTATTGTTGTCACGTGTGATATACGAAGTAAAGGTGGCCACATGCAAAATCAGCTGTCATGTTATAACTGAAAATCTCACTTTCCAAAAAAGCAGTATGCAAATACTATCAAGTCAAGATGTGCCCTGCTAAATGCCTTCTTCCTAAAACAGACTGAAGGAAGTAATAATCCAAAACAAGCTTTAACAAGTTTAAGGATGTGTACACTTGTGCAACCAACTATTGTATTTCTTTACAGTATGTATTTTTAATTTTTTCCTGCCACGTCTTTTTTTTTTTTCAGTTAAACTGTACAGGATACAGTAAAGGTAGAAAAAATGATGGAAACTATTTGTCATCTCCTTTTTTAAAATTACAGAATGTAAAAAGACGTGAGGGTGTAGAATTTTTACATCCACTGTAGTTGCATGACTGATCTGTCACACTGCAAAACATGTACTGAAAAGGTGTTGCCATCCATGAGTCTGCTCTATTAATAGAGCATCCCGGCTCGGAGTGCCAGAGAAATTTTGAAGTGATAATCAACACTGATGCAGCTTGATGTGAGCTTGATGGCTCTACACACATTTATCACCCATCAAAGTAGAAAGACAGAATTGGATACATCTACCCACAACTGAGCTAAGTCCTCTTTTTGCTCCACCTCAGTAGGTTTTGCCAAAAGTCTTTCTGTTATACCATCTAGCCCCAGGGTGTCCCGGGAATCTGCGTGACCTCTGAAGGTTGAAGTACGAAAGCATAATTCATCCATACAGGTTCGACAACTCTTCCCCAGGTTCCCTACTTGACCTCAAAACTTGGCTGTAAATTTTGTGAACCACAAGTAATAAACTCTTCCCCCAGAGGCCTTAGCTTCTTAAGTGGAAGTGCTGATCTAGCGTTACTGTGATACAGTTTGACCATCTCCTTCYTTATGATTCAAAAGGCAAAACTCGTACTGTAGGTTTATTCTAAAACCTTGATGCAGGCCCAGGAGAATGAGACTGAGTAGAGCACTGGAAGCTGACYCAGCTGAACCAAGCAGAGGTTCAGCAGTAAATGATAAAGAGGTATGCAGATTGTTAGGAGATTGCTCGAGCTGTTAACCCTTGTCACTGACACCTCCTTCAATCAGTGCATTCTTTACACATGTTAATATCCAGGACTGATCCCAGTGTTTTGGAATTTGTAAAACCCACACTCTATGGGATTCACGTTCCTAGTGGTAGCATGTGCAGACATTTTGCTCTTTGACCTTTCAGAAAGCTTCATTGCATCACTCTGGTAGAAACGCACAGTACTGCTGCATGCAAACTGATTCTGGTGTTAGAAGACAAAGGCAATTTATCTGGCAACATCACAGAATAGTTCATGACAGCAGTTCAGCTTGACAGTCAACTGTTCCAATACACTCTGCTCTTATTTAAATCTCAGGTTTCAGGTAATCAGACATACCTCTGCAACACATCTGACAGTGATCTTCCTTCCAAAACAAATGACTGCTAAATTTACCCAAAGGCAACAAACAAAACCATTTTACATATTACAACTCAGTTGTATTCAGATAATTACAGTATCTGTTCACCCATGTATTCAGATAGTAACATGTACACACCCTGGTTAGTACCAGTTGCAGTGGTCGGCATAGTTCTGCTAAAACACTAATCTGACAATAGCAGAACCTTCTCATTTGGCAAATTAGCTTTTTTGCTAACTTTGGAAACAACAGACTGATTAGCTTCCACTAAATTAGATCAGGTTCTGTTGATTGTAAGTCTGCTAAAACTTTGCAAATGTAAACCTTATTAGTGAATTAGTAGGGATTAGTAAATCTAATATTTTGGTCATCTGGGCCCACCACTGACCATGTGTTTGTTGGGTGAATTAAATGATGTACACACCTCACCTTTATAGTGTGTGTTGAGTCACATTTAACAGAAATGTTAACATTCCCACAACGACAAGCTCAGCGGTACTTACTGGCTACTTCCAGGGATGCATTGTGGCTAATCGCCTGGCCCAGATAGTTTCGAGCCACACAAACATAGCTGCCATCGTCTGGCTTGCTCCGTCGTCCGTGGATGATTCGCAGGAAAAACAGGGAGCCGCTTGGTAGTAGCATACGATGGGAGCGGGGGTTATCACGATCTGTCTCAACGCGCTCACCATCTTTGTACCACTCCACCGTTGGGACTGGACGGCCCTCTGCCTTACAGTTGAGAGTAGCTGGCTCCCCTTTGGACACAATGAGGTCTGAGGGGTGCTCCACAATGCGAGGAGGGAAGTCTTCCTGGCGGAGACGGGACCCTGGAAAAAAAAGACAGGGGGCACATGAAGTTTAAACTTTGCTACCAAATCACTGTTATATGACAGAACAAATACCTACAATTAAATATACCAATTAATCTGTCATTTATAAAATATATCAAAAATTATATACATTTGTTAGTCAGTACATTATTTCTGGATGCCCATCTTCACAATGAACGAGAAAGTAGCTCTCTCCTATCTGTTTTTATAATTTATGTTGTGTGAAGCCAATTTCACCAGAKCCTCTAAATAAGACAAAAATATGACTCAATACTTCCAAACACACAAACCCCAACAACCACGAAATCACCTCTATAATCCCTGATCCACTGCTGAGGTGTCAATCAATTGGCTCTTCACAAGAAAGATACCAACTGAGGCTGACAACAAAACAAACGTCCCTAATGAGTTCCAGGTACACAACTCCAAWGCCCTTCAATATTTTACATTCCATTCATCTTTCAAACCTCCTCCCTGGTAAACAAGAAAAGCATACAAGCTCACACACACTACACATTGCTGCTTCAAATTCTGCCCACGCACACATAAAACATCAACTGCTTTTTATGTTGTCCTCCTGTATTTTCATAAAGGAAGAAAAAAATCTTTCTACTTTAGAGAATTTAGATCAGATTCACTGTAAGCAATGTCAAGAAAAGGTTCATATCTGATCTATCTATATGTGATCTAAATATGATTTTTATTTCTGTGAGGGAGTTTGAGACNGTGGCGGTCTGCAAATCTCTTGTTCTGCTGTGCAGTACATAGAAGGGCCCTTTGAGTCTGATTCCAAATCCTGCGACAGCGTTGGATGTGTGGTTGAACAGATGGCACCACAATGTCGGTCTCGTCACTGGGGAACAATGGGGGGTTATACTYGAGAGAGGCCTCAAAAGGAGAATAACCAGTAGCAGAAGAGATGTGACAGTTGTGTGCATACTCGACCCATGAGATGTTGGCACCAAGAGGTTGGGGAAAAGTTGTCAGGTCTTGTCAGTCTCCCCTGTTCTACTGACGAGACGGCCCGTTTCCCTGCAGGGGGCAGGTGGTGACGAAGTGTCCCTTGTTTCTGCAGTAGATGCACAACTCAGCAGCAAACCATCTCTGTCTCTCCTCAGGAGTCAACCGGGTGTGTCCAACTTACATGGGTTCGGCAGAATTAACAGCAGCTGTAGCGTGAGGAAGAGGAAACTCACCACTGATTACAGAGGCAGAAACCTGCGGCGTCTGGGAAGTGTAGTTTTTTTCCTTCTTTCGCTCTCTTAATCTATTATCAATACGGATGGACAATTCGATTAATTCGTCCAGGCTTCCAGGTTCATCCCGGGAAGCCAGTTGATCTTTAAGTTGTTCAGATAAAGAGTTGGTATAAATACTTTTTAAGGAAAGTTCCTCCCAACCCGCCTCTTCCGCAACAATGCGAAAATCCACAGAGTGTTCGGCTGCCAATTTACTTCCTTGTCGTAGATTGATCAGTCTTTTCGCTGTCTCCTCCTGCTGGAGGGGATGATCAAATACACGCTGGAACTCCTGAATAAACAACAGAGAGGTGAGTGAGTCCGAGGAATGAGCTGAAATAAAGGCTTGAGCCCATCTGAGAGCCTTTACCTTTAAAGCAGACACAATGTAAGTAACTCGGGCAGAATGAGTAGGAAAAAGAGAAGGTGAATGAGCAAAAGCCATTCGGCACTGTAATTAAAAACCTGCACACTGATTTATTTCTCCATCAAATAATTCAGAGGGTCGGATGTCTGGTTCTCTCACAGGAAAAACAGGTGGACTGGGCGTGGTAACGGGAGGTGTAACTGGGTTAGGGGAAAAAAATGTGTTCAATCTACTATCAATGGCGGCAATACAATGAGTGACTTGATTTAATAATGTGCTGGTTTCATGATCTAACATTGTAGGGTCAGGTTGATTATTAACCCCGGGGGTCTGATTGTCAGAGGTATTGCTCACAGACATTTTACTTGGCTGAAGCATACTATCAGATTTACAGATTGGGGTCAACGTGAGCAGTACCAGAGACAAACAGAGATGGAGACGAGATGTACAAAAAGGTAAGTGATTTTATTTTTACAGGTGCGGGAGTGGTCTTGGGTCTGGACCTGGAACAGAACGATTGCAGAGGTGAGTATTTGATAATCTTCCAATAATGGTCTTAAGCAGGTAAAACAAACAAGTGAGCTCTTACAGGCTGGGGAAGGAGATGAAGCGTGGAGGAGTTGGTCCAAAAAGGTGAGGATCCAGAGGTGAGTATTTACAGGTGAGTTGGTATTTACAGTGACACGTGGGAGGCAGCGCATGAGAAACTGGTGAGAGGCTCTGAGTCCAAGGCAGCAGGCAAAAACATGCTGGAGATTGTTTTCTGCAACAGGTAAATACAAAAAACACAGGTAATACAAAAACTCTTGGAGAGAGTAACAAGCAGCAGGCTGCGCTCATACCAAACATGAGGTGATGCTTCAGCGATGAGTTGATCTTCAGCACTGCCTTAAGAAGCCTGGAGGTGATGAGCCAAATCTCATGCAGGTGTGGGTGATCAGTGCTGCTACCAATCATGGAGGCAGGGGGTGGAAACACCAAAATGCCTCAGTTATTTGTAATAATGTGGAATGGCACAGGGAAAAAGTATTGAACACACTTACTGAAATTTATCTAATACTTTGTACAAAAGTCTTTGTTGTCAATGACAGCTTCAAGACGCCTCCTGTATGGAGAAACTAGTGGCATGCATTGCTCAGGTGTGATTTTGGCCCATTCTTCCACAC